CCTTGGTCATTCTGTGATTCCCTGGAGATGTTCAAAGTTGTGTCCTTGGGTCTGTGTCCCCAGATGGCACCATCAGGACAAAGTGCACTTTGTGGAGGTTTGCTGTGGCCCTTGGAGCAGCAGGAAGGCAGAGGGCCTGATGCTGAGCTAGGGCCCTCCTTCCTGCAAACCAGTGACTTGCTTCTCTGGGTCCTACTAGGAACTGCAGGAGATGGTGCCAAGAAAGAGGGATTGATAGCACTGTACTGCATTGTCCCCAGAGGCTGTGCTGGCAGCCTCTGTTTTCCTTCCAAGTATAGATTGAGGTCGAGTCTTTGGGCAGAGGAGGGAGATGCTCTGGGCTCCAGTGTCTTCAGCACCATAATTTTCAACCGTGCAGCGCATGGGAGCTCGTGGTGTCCTCAGCCTGCCTCTGGCTACGTTGATATTTTTCCCCAGTTGAATTGGCCTAGATTTGGGAATAAGGAAGAGAATCCTTTCTCTGCAAGCTTCTTCTTTGTCTCCCCAAATCATTGCATCCCCCCCTAAGGCCATTCTTTTGTGAGTTGTTTTTCTGTGGGCTTTTTTTTTCTGATGAAGGCCTGACATGAGCAATGAGCTTCCCAGTTCTGTGCTGAGTTTGCTCTTTGCCCAGTGATCAGTCCAGCTGTCGAGCTGTCGGAATTTCTCCAGCGCCATCAACATTCTTCATGTTTTCATTGTCAAATTATATGTGACACTTAATTTAAAGCTTAAGCATAAAGCCTCACTAGCAGGGAGATTGCTAGAAGATATTGATTTTACTGCATGCTTGTATTTACATATAAAACCGATGCAAAATCTTGCTGTTGGTCAGGGCATTATTTCTGGGCAGGCCATCGATTTATGCTTTATTTTAATTCTAATGTTTCTAAGATCTGTTTGGCCAACATGACTGTGAACAACACCAAGAGCAAATGGGTGTAATGAACAGCTTTGCACTGAATTTTGGGGTTTCGTGCTCTTTGAGCCAAAGCAAACTTGTGGAACCGAATCACCTTGATTTGCTGAAAGGAGAAGACATTTCCGACACAGTGAGAAGTGTTTCATGTCTTGCAGTTTGTTTTAAAAGTGTACAAACTTTGAGGGGATTCAGGACTTGGAGCTGAGGATGATGGTAATCTTCTCGTACAGTGCTGCACGTGGTAATTTTGCTGGTGGCAAAGGGGGTTTAACAAAACACTCCCAAGGAAAAGCCAAAAATAACCAAAACATGGGGACAGGTTTGAGTCTGGAGGGGCTGGGGTTTGCATGCAGGTCCTGGCTTTGGTGCTGTGTTTGATCAGTGCTGGGAGCTCCCATGTTGCCTACAGGGCAAGGTGGCTCTCTGCTAAATGCATTGTGTCTTTCAACTCACCAGTGGATTTGGTGTCCTCCTGGCTATTAGAAACCCCTTGGGTAAATGTCACTGCTGAATCTGTTTGCAGGAGCACAGCACTGCAGTGCACACATCACGCTTTGCCAACAGAGCACTTTCTGTTGGGTTTTCAATCAGCTCACAGCTGTTAGAAATAAGATTTGTGTCAGAAGCTGCCATTAACATGATGGAGGGGCAGGAGAAACAACCCTGAGTGAGAAATGGAGAGCTCGGCCTGTTTCAAAGAGAGCCAGCAGAGAGGATGGTTAATGGAGGTGACTTGGAAAGCCCTTAACTTTAAAGCCACCAACCCACCAGCCACCTACCATTAGTTCTTCATAAAGCATTTGCAGACCAACTGGTGCCATAATGTCTGATCCCAAAGCTGTGCCTCATTCTCTGAGCAGGTTCATGGTGTGCCTTGTGATGAGAATCTCCCAGAGACAAGTACAGAATCAGAGAATCATAGAACTGCTCAGGTTAGAAAAGACCTTAAGGATCACTGAGTCCAACCACGACCTAACCATCCTACCCTACCCTATCTCTAGCAACCCTCCGCTAAATCGCATCCCTGAGCACCACATCCAAATGGATTTTAAACACATCCAGGGATGGTGACTCAACCACCTCCCTGGGCAGCCCATTGCAGTGCTTCACAACCCTTTCTGTAAAGAAGTGTTTCCTGATATCCAGCCTAAACTTACCCTGGCACAACTTGAGGCCATTCCCCTCGTCCTGTCACCTGTCACCAGTGAGAAGAGACCAGCCCCGCTCTCTCTCAGCCATAAGCAGAGCTCACATGGGATGTGCAGGTGCCTCCTGTGGCCTGCAGATCCCAGAGATCAGAGCATCTCTTGTGTGCATGTAGAGGTGCATGGCATCCCTGCATCTCGGCTGTGTCTTAACTTTGTGATAAAGTCATGGAAAAATTGCTAAATCTCACTTAATGCTGTATGAAGGAGAGAGTTGAACTTCCTTTACACTTGGCTGGTGTAATAACCCTTCCTTTTTCATCCGGCCTAGTAAGCTACAGAGTGCATTTGTGTCCATAAAGTCCATTTCATGCCTGACGAATCTGCTGTTTTCTGAGGCCCATTGAAATATAAAACCTTGAGAGGAGATACGAATGGTTCAAATCCTTGATTCAAAGACTCTCCCCATTGCCCCTAACCTGTTTCTACAAGATTAGCTGCTTGCATTAAAGAAGTTACGGAGAGATTCACTTCTGTCTTTCTCAAGAGTTACATTTCCTTTCTAATGATGTGATGCCCCTATTTCTGTGGCTCAGGTGCAGGGTGTGCATCCCAATTCTGCCTGGGGAGCAGCAGGGTCTGCACTGAACGCCTGGGGATGGGAGGGAGGGTGATGATGATGAGGATGATGAAGATCCCTGGAGTCTCAGGCATCTTCTTCTTCTTCTTCATCATCATCATCATCATCATCATCTCTCAGTTACCTGCCTGCAGGTCCCCGGCTGCTTCCCTGGAGCAGCTGCCCAGGGGTGAGAGGAGGACTTTACAACTGAATAGAAGTTGGATGGCACTCAGTTGCATCCTAAAAATGCTGTAAGACAGGACAGGTGCTCTGAAAAGAAGCCATCAAAGGCAGCTTTACATTGCTTCTAACTTCTGCTTGTGCTAATGTGATGATTTGAACGTGCTCATTGTGTCCTAGAAGCACTTGGCTTCTCTGTAGCTTGTGTCTCTTTAGGGAAGAGTTTCATGCTGATGCTCTGATCTTTCTCTCCCCTCTGGGGTCCCAACTTCAGGCGGTTCAGGATGGATCTGCTTCACTTTCTCAATTGCATCATGGTCAGTGAGTTACAGGAAAACAAGAAATCAGTCAATAAGGCTTCCCGGGTGTTCCCTGGGATCCATCAGTTTACAAGCTGCTTTAATCTTAAATGCTCCCTGTTGAAAGGCAGCACCTTGTTTAGCAGGAGCACACCTATTTTCTGTGCAGAGCACAAAGCAGGCGCTGATTGTGCAGATATGCAGAGCTTCCCGAAATGCACCCGTGGCAGCTGGGGCCACTTTTACTTCCTGTCCAGATCTTTGCAGCCCAAGAAGATGCAATGTCTGGGGTGAAAAACAGAGGTCGTAGGACTTCTCAGCTGAGCTTTGCATCTTTACCTCTCCTTTGAGAGTGAATGGCAGCCAGAGCGCAGGTCTGGTCCTGTGGTTGTGGCTGCTCACAGAGAGCTCAAAGGTGGCCTGGGCACAGAATCCAGGAGATGCTGCTGGCAAAACTCCTGTGCTGCCCAGCCCCAGTTCTTTGTCTGTGTATCTTCGGCTGGCTGGGTGTGATCTGCGGGCAAAACCTTGCCTGGAAAGCATTAAATGACTTTGCAATGGACTGGGTCCAGCTTCTGCTAATCCTAATGAGTCAGCCACCCACAGGTTTCAGTGAGATCAGGCTTGTTGAGGAAATCTCATTGTAACAGCAGACACAGCACCTTGTGTGCTCTTAAACAGAAGGATAAATGGTGCATCACAGTGCTGGCCTTACTACATTTCCAAACCTAGTTGAGGGCAAGGACAACGGAAGTGGTCGTTCAGGAATTGTTGGTCACAGACTTCAGCAGGAGGAGCTTCCAGCAGTGCTGTGACACCCAGGCAGGACTGAGACCCACATTGTCACCGTGCTGCAGAGCGATGGCCAAGCCTGCACATGGGCTGCAGTTTGCTGGAGGGGCCCCTGCCCATGTCTGCAGGCATGAAAGTGCTCCAGACCTCCTGGATTTTGGATTCCTGCCTCTCCTAAATTGCTCTCCCGTGTGCCTCCTCATTGCTGTTCCCACCCTGATCCGCTGTGGCTCGGAGCTGTGGAATTTGTCACCTCCCTACAATAGTATCCGTGCTTTTGATGGCTCTTCCATGGGATATTTTAATGCATTCTTGTCAAACGTTCCATTTTTTTGTCCCCCAGTAGCTACTGACAGATGAAAGCACTAACACTGGCTTTACATGGGAATTTAATGGTACCAGCTGTCATGCAGATCCCCAATACAAATATTTTCTGCTGTTAATGGTTTCAGCGCGAGCTTTTTTATGTGATCAAATGTAATCTTATTTAATGGCGTTTTATTGCTGTGACGCCTGATTCTTTTCACCAGGCTGGACTTTATTTTTAAAGCAAGAGTTGATTGTTCAGCAGAGAGACAGAGAAACAGGACCGAGCGGGGCGGGAAGCTGGGCTGAGATGTGCTCAGAGGGAGGTACTGCAAATGGCTCACATCCGAGGCACAAAGCAGGGATACTTGGTGGAACAGCTCCGTTTGGAGTGAGCTGGAGCAGTGCTACCAGGGTTGCTGTGCTGGCGGCTGCCATGTTTCCCCTCTGGCTGTCGCATGGCTGTGCAGAGCCACGTCACAAAGGCAGCACTTGCAGCTGGTACCTGGTGTGTGGCTGCTGGCGGGTCTGCGAGGCAGGCAGCAGGTAGAAGGCTGGAGCGAGCCGGAGCCTTTGCTTAGAAACCGTTTATCTGTCACAGGGGCTGCGAAGCAGTGCCAAAACGCAACGGCCAGAATGCGATGGCCAAAGGACTGCAGCTGGAGCGTGTCACCTGCCCCTAAATCTCCCTGTCACCTTACAGACGCCGTGACTGCAGTGTTGTTTGTCTGTAGGTTGTCCGCACAGAGAAGAACAGCCTGAACAACCGCTTCCTGCCGTGGGATGAGATCGAGACAGAAGCCATCCTGTCCATCGACGACGACGCTCACCTTCGCCACGACGAGATCATGTTTGGGTTCCGGTGAGTGGCACAGGGTGCAGCTTTTCTGTGCGGTGTGGCCATCGTGGCTAAAATGAGGGCCTGACCAAGGATGAGTGCATCCCTTCCAATGGCTTCACGGTGCAGGAATAGCGTGTGTTAATGAATTGTTTAATTCACTACATGTTAATGAGTTGCAGGCAGGTGGGCTGATTCCAGGTTGTCCAGGCAACCTGATTCTCACGTGTCTTAACCTCAGCTCTTTGGCTTTTGCGATTCTGACAGCGTTCCCTTCGTGTTGTTGGCAGTGCATGCTTTCCTTGCCTGTTGAGGAAGAAAACTGGAAAACGAACGCAAGGCTTTCGCACTCCGTGCTTTGTGTGCCATCAGCGAGGCCACGACATTCACTGCAGGGATTCATTGCTCGTGTGCTCACAGCGGGCTGTCATCCCTCCTCTGAGATCTGTGCGGCACTGGGATGTGACAGCTGTTTTAGCATCGCTCCCTCCAGAGCATGGAGAAAAGAGATGTTGCACAAAGAGTGCTGGTTGCTCTCATTCCTACTCTTCTGCTCCAACACCTGCATTTTCCTTCGACGTTGCCCTGGCACACAGCTCCCTGTTGATGAGCCCAGGGAAGAAAGCGGTTCCATAGGAGGTTTCCCCAGGCTGCTGCTGCTCACCCTCGCTTGGCTGCAGCTTGTCAGCCTGGTGTGGGGCTGACTGCAAATCCAAGGGCTCCTGACGGCTGTCAGGGGGTGGAGGCAGGCAGCAGCTCTCCTCTCCCTCCTACATGGGTTGGCTCTTGCTTCAGAGGAAGACAGAAAGGCACAAAATGCCTGGAAAGCACTTTCTCTGAGGGGTGAGAAATGTGGTGTTAAGTGATTACAGCAGGCATTGGGACTCCTGGCTCCCTTCCTTGCCCTACTGTGGGCTCTTTATCTGGACTTGGCCATTTTCTGCATTGGTCTCCATTTGCCTTTGCCCATCTGCAGTGCCTGGGTGAGGCTGCACTGATCAGGCCCGGAGCACCTTGCATGGAGATTGTTCGCTGGGAGCAAACCTTACCAAGGAGTGCAACCAAAATGCTCTGCTGGAGGAACTCTGGGTTTTGCTGCTGAGCTGGGAAAGAAATGTCACATTCATGTGGGTGTGGGAGAAGTGAAAGGGGGTGAGTGGTTTCTGCTGCAGCTTTTCAAAACAGTCATATTGGATCGATAGAATCCCTCAGCACACAAATGCTTGCTGGGAGGATGGTGGCAGGGAAGCTGCGGGCAGTGTTAATTGCTCAGTTTTCATTACCAGGTTGTATTGGAGTTTCCTTAATTTGACTGAGGATGTAACAACAAACCAGTCTTTGCTGTTTGCTGTGTTAAGTAGCCTAATGAAGGCCCAGAGCCCTCAGGAACTTTGTTTTGTCAGCAGCCCACAGTTGCCCCGCAGCCATTGCTTGTGAAGCTCAGCAGGAAAGAACCTAGGGAGGAGGAAGCAGGAGCTCCATGTGTGCTAGGAAAATAGGAGAAGGGCACCTGCTGCCTGATGGAGTGTCTGGGGAAAGGGGAAAACCCTTCCAGGCTCCCACCTGGGGCTCGTTCCTCGTAGCCACTGAGTCACTGAGGTCAGATCAGTGCATCCAAAGGAAGCCATCAGCCCGTTGTGGAAGATGCATTTAGTTCCCAGGTTAGACATTTAGCACTGATGTTTTTCTTAATTACTCCTGACAGCATTGCAGCTATCCCGTGGGATTTCTCTGGAGGAGAGCGAGCTTCAGATGAGAGCAGAATGTTAAATGAGCCCACACTCTCACATGTGAACCCCAGAATTAATTCCCTGTGCAACAACTGCGAGCATGTGTAGGGGTGAAGGATGCTGGGGAGGCTGCTGGGTGCAGGTTGGGATGGAAGTGGGCAGGTAACCACTGCATGTCTGTAAGTAGGGACAGGTAGTGGAGCTTGGTGCCTTCCATCTTGGAGACCCCATCTTGAGCATCTCTGCAGCTTTCCTAAAGGGAGCTTTGATTGTCTTTGCTGTATGGAGGAAGAAACAAAGCTGCTGGGAGATACCACGTCCCAGGGAGCTTGGGAAGAGGCTGGATTACCCCAGGCTGCTGTGGGGTATAGAAGAAATAGGAGCAGCACTGGTGCATGTGTCTTGCAATGATGTGCCTGCATATGCTGTGTGAAGCTGGCAGCAGTTTCCATCACACTGGCTTTCCCAGCCTCTTTCTCTGCCTTTTCACCTGAGATCATAGCTTTCCATGCTCTGTGTAATTCAGAAATGAATGATGGGCTATCAGCCTCTATTCTTAGTTTTCTTTTAAACTTGCAGCACAACCCTTTTAGTTAGAAAAAGCGACTCGAAGGCGCCTCTGGAAGAGAACCAACATGAGAAACCCAGCTGTGCTGCTCTGCACTTGCAGCTGTGTGTGGCAGAGCTGAGTATGGGATGCTCTGCTTCACACTCAACATTTAGAACAAGATAAGCTCAACAAATTCTGTATTCCTGTCAAAGCCACGATTTCTGCATTTCTGTAGCCCCTTCCTGCAGTACAGTATGGCACAACTCCATGAGATCAGGGAGGGATCCATGAGTCACTTGGTTGCTCCTTTTGATGGTGCTGGGGCAGTGGGTGAACTTGCACTGCAGTCTATGTACACAGGCACCTTTTCATGTGATGTTTTCATGCTTTTGTAAAAAAAAAATAAAATAAATGAACTTTAAAGCAAAGTAATTACATGTTTTCACAATGATTGTAATTCTTGTCCAAGCAACCAGCCATCGCCAAGCTTAAATGCACGCATCTCCATCATGTGCAGCCCTTCCTTGGGAGCTGCTCTGTTGGTATTGAGGGCACAGTCCTGCCCTGAGCTCCTGGCTCAGCTGGAGCTGTGCTCGCCTCCAGAGGTGCTGCCCAGGTTGGTGTCTGATGGAAAACCTCGGTGTTTCTGTTTGCAGGGTCTGGAGGGAGGCGAGGGACCGCATCGTTGGCTTCCCGGGGCGCTACCACGCGTGGGACATCCCCCATCAGTCCTGGCTCTACAACTCCAACTACTCTTGTGAGCTCTCGATGGTGCTCACTGGTGCTGCCTTCTTCCATAAGGTGAGATATCGTAGAATCACAGAATATCCCAAGTTGGAAGGAAGCCGTAAGGATCATCAGGTCCACAGTTGCTCTTCCACGGTCAGCCTGGTGCTTTCCCTTCCTTCCCAGACTAACTGGAGTTCATGTGGTTGTGGGGCTTTTATTTTCAAAGAAGAAACTCTGCAGCACACTGCTCCTTTTCCCCAGCTCCTTCCAAACAGAAACACTAACAAACATATCCAGTGCCCAGAGGCACATCACAGGCAACACACAGATTCTGCAAGCTAGGAACACCCAGATGCTCCCTCGTTTGCAGTCGCAGGGATGGGCTGATGGTTGGGTTGGATGATCTTAGTGGTCTTTCCAACCTTAATGTGTCCATGAATGGGAGGTGTGATTCAGATTCCCTGTGTCATATTTACAGCTGAGTCTCCCAGAGCTCTTGTGTGGGAGTTGATAACCTTTCTGTAGTGCCTTTAATCTTACAGAGTCCAAGCACTGCAAGTTGCACTTTCAGGGGAAGTCATGGTTTTCTGTAGCTGCCTGGTGTGCAGAGCTTGTGGGTGGTTTGTGCTGGGAGGGAGCAGTGCAGAATGCAGCTCTGTGGCACGTGTTCTGTCTATGGGAGAACCGACAGGTGGCAAGTGGGCCTTAAAAACCAACAGGCTCTTTTCCTACAGGGGTTGTCCTGAGCTGTCTTAGCAAGGTGGGAAGGTTATCCACAGCAAGTGCTGTGCAGCAACAAAGACAGCAGGAGCTGAGGGGGCTGGGGCAGCACTCGCTGCCTGTGGCCCCTTGAGCATTGTTAGAACTTTTTTTCCTCACCAGTACTACGCCTACCTGTACTCCTACGTGATGCCGCAGGCCATCCGCGACATGGTGGATGAGTACATCAACTGCGAGGACATCGCCATGAACTTCCTGGTGTCACACCTCACAAGGAAACCTCCCATCAAGGTAAGGCACCAGGCAGGGCTTGGGTGATTTGATGGATGTCTGAAACGTGCAGTGCCGTGCGGAGTGCAGCTTGGAGGCTGCTTGACTTGGGGAAATGCAGCTGCTGCCCTCCCTCACCATGCTCTGACTGCAGTGCATCTCCAAACGGCTGTGCTGTGAGCTGACCTGCTGGGAGCTGCTAACGTGTCCCCAAGGAGGTGCAGTGTGTGCTCAAAAAGGTGTGGAAGCTCAGCACGGCTCTTAGAAGCAGCCACTGTGACAAGCAGGATGAGGAGGGGTTCGACTCACGCTGGCTTACAGCAGAGGGTTTCTGGGTGAGCAGAGGCCCTGCAGGGCAGCTGAGTCCTGAAAGCCACATGTCCTACTTTGGTGGTGTACAGCACAAGTAGGAATTATTTCCTCGCTGTTTTTGTATAGCGTTGTGGAGGCATTTGGGCTCACGGGTGTGTGGAAGGCTGTTGGTGCAAACACTGTGGCCCAGCTGAAGTCTCTCTGCCCTGTCGTGACAAATGACTGTCACAATTCTGAGCACGAATTTCAGATCAGTCTTCTTTTTATGGCTGCTGGCAGAGCGCTCTTACAGCCCCACATATGTCTCGCTGTCACAGGCCAGCTGCCTTGGAGATGGGCCTGGGCCATGAATGTGACAGGAGGGCTCTTCTGCATGGTGTTCCTTCCATCTGGAACCGCTGTAAAGGGGAGGTTGTGGAGCTCAGCGCCCAATCTGAGAGCATCTGACCCAAATCAGAGGGCGCTGCAATGGGATGGCCACATCCAGACCAATGAGGGGGGATAGGATACCTGTCGGGCAGCTCCTGAAAGGTGGAGCCCCCTCAAAACATCTCACTCTGTGTGCCTAAAGCATGAGGCAAGTTTCTATTCTAAAAATACGTTCTGTAGCACTGGAACAAATTCATTTTTAAGGTCTTTCCCTCTGACACGGCTTCTTAAACCCTAAGTGATGAGAGTCAGCAGGAGCCGCTCACTGTGCCCCCTAAGGCTCTGTCCCTCCCTTCACAGGTGACCTCCCGCTGGACTTTCCGCTGCCCTGGCTGCCCCCAGGCGCTTTCACACGATGACTCTCACTTCCACGAGCGGCACAAGTGCATCAATTTCTTTGTCAAGGTGTACGGGTACATGCCTCTGCTCTACACCCAGTTCCGCGTGGACTCGGTCCTCTTCAAGACCCGCCTGCCCCATGACAAGACAAAATGCTTCAAATTCATCTGAAAGCAGGAGGGAGCAGGGCACCCCGGCTTCCGAACTCCATCTGGAGGTGGGGGGGCTGAGGGGGGCTCTTCAGCTGGGCTTCGATGCTTGACGCCTCCTGCCACAGACTCCGGTCTCCTCCCACGGAGCACGAGGGACGTCGGGGACCTGGCGGTTCTGTCAGGATGCTCCCTGCGATCGTACACTGAGGAATGGTGCGCTGGCTAGTGGATCTGCCCCTTTCCTGGCCGAGGGCGACCATTCTTTTTAATTATAATTATTGTTATTTAAAATGAAAGTGTTTTAGATTTGCCGCGTGAGGCTTTTTTTTTTTCCCTACCCACCCCGTTTTCCCCTGTTGACCCACCACAGCGAGGCCAGCTTGGAGGAGCTGGGCTGCAGAGGTTTCTCCCAGCATCGAGGCAGCTCTGCTGACCGTGCTGGCCCCATCCCTTCCCTGCCCCTCTCACACACCGTCGGCCTCACAGCCGCAACTGAGGGCTCCAGCTTTCGTCCATCTGGGAGCACTTTGCTGCTGGGCTGACCACGCAGGGCCCACCCAAGAGGGGTGAGTGAGGAAGAAGTTGGTCCCAGTGGGTCTTTGCCCAGCTCCCAGCAGCAGGCCCTGTGCCGCAGTCACTGTGGTCTTATTCCTGGTGCCCTGTGCTGCAGCCATGGGGAAACCAAGCTGCCCCGTGTGCTCCTAGCTGGCCTGCTGGTGTTGCTGGGATGGAAGGTGAGGTATTGGTCCTTTCGAGATCATGTAATGCTTCAGAGGGTGGGGAAAAGAGATGGGTGTCCTCCTTTGTGCCAGCCAAGCAGCGCCAAAACGAAGCGCCAGCGATTGCTGGGATCCCACACTGCCTCGTCCCCATCGCAAAGCCACGCGCGTGCCCAGGGTGGATTTACCTGCCTTAAACCCTCGTCCTGCCTGCACACATGTGTGGCTCTGGGCTGCATTTGAAGGCTAATCCCACAAAGACCTTCCATTCAAGTGGGCTGGGGGACGTAACTGCGATGGTGGTCATGGAGCCGGGTTTGGAGCTGGTTCCTCCCCTACCCAGCAGGTGCCGTCAGCTCGACGCACTGCTCTGCTTGGCCGTGGTCCCATGGGAGGAGGAAGGACATGGCTGCTCTCCTGCATGTACCTTCAGCAGCACCACAGAGCACAGGGAAACGAGGAGTGACGTCTGGTTCTCCCTTTGTGTACTGTTTCTCTTTTTAGTTTTAACATCAGGCGCTGGAAACAGAGTGTGAAGGTTCAGTCTCTTTAAATAGAGGAGCATTAAATGGAGCATGGGTGGCAGCCAGGGTGGGGGCAGCTGTGGATTGCACTTTATATAAATAGAGATACACACTTCCCATCAGCTTATTTTCAGAAGTCTTAGGGGGAAATGTCCTTATTTTGGTGAGACTGTAATACAGGGAGCTCGGAAGATGCGGATGTACCATGAAGTGTTTGTGTTGCCATTTGCATTGCAAGGTCTGGTAGCTGAGCCTCTGTGCATGGCAGCTGTCAGACACCCACCTCCTGTACCCCAAAACCTAAACCCGCGTCGGCCCTCAGCCCCAAGGCTGGGTGGGCTCTTCCTTTCCATCATGGCTTCTCATTCACAGGCCAGTAGAAACAGTGGTGGAAAGTCGCGTTGTTCTTCCAGGCTTTCAGCTCTCTCATCCCTTGCCCAGCCTGTTGGTTTTTCGGACATGCCTGGCACCACGACTGTGATGGGGTGCCTGCAGGGTGGGGTTGAGTTGCAGGATGGTTTCCTGTTTGCTGAACCCTAAAGGGATTTGGGGTGAGGGTGGGTGGGTGCTGCGATGTGCTGGTGGCAGGAGGGAAGGGGCCATGGGGCCGTGCAGGGCTGTCTCCATCTCCACCCTCAGTCTTCTGTTGCTAGGAAGATTGTCCCACTCTGCCCCAACAGACACCAGAACCCTTCCAGAGCACGGATCTGTGATTCATGCCCAACTTTCTGCTCCGGTGGCATCCTGCAGGCTTCCCTCATTGTCAGGGAGAGAGGCATCCCTGAGAACAGCCCTTGCCACTGTCCCCATCATCCTGGTGACCAGCATCTCTGCCGTGGGTTTTGTGATGGTCCCAGGGCAATGCTGAAGCTCAGGTCAGGTTGTGGGGTTCATCCCGGTGAGGGTCCCTTTCCCAAAGGAAGGCCTTTTCCCTTTTTGGATGTTTCTGCTGCTTCATCCCAGGACTGGGGCTGCAGCTGGGTGTGGAGTGAGGTTCTCTCCTGTTCACTGTAAATAGCATCGCCAGTGGTGCCGCCCTGCCCTGTGCCAACTGCCCCGGGGGCACCGGGTTCAAAGAAAAATGGAGGCAAAAAGGAACACTCCTTCAACACGAGCACAATATTCATATGTTGATTTTTTTTGTAAAAGGATCCAATAAATGGAGAGTTTAACTTGAGCGTGGCTCCGTGCTTTGCTGGGGGCTGTGAGAAAGGGTTTGGGACTGGGATGGGATGCGCAGCAGCTTCCTTTTGGGGCACCCCAAAACCAACATCTCCCAGCCCTGCCTTTTCCCTGGCAGAGCCATGAGCTGCTCTGGTCCAGCAGAACACCTTCAGGGCAGCTGTGTCCATTTCAGCAAACTGCCCTGGAGTAAAGGCTCGTCCCTACTGGGAGCATTTGTTCTTGCTATTATTTCCAGAAAAAAGACCCAGGTTCTGGTTCCAGAAGAGAGGAAATGGATGCTGTGCCCAGGACCTGGATGTGCTCCAGGCTGTGTTGGATGGGGCCCTGATCTGGTGCCCGACTTAGTGGTTGGCAGCCCTGCCCGTGGCAGAGGGTTGGAACTGGATGGTCTTTGGGGTTCCTTCCAACCCAAGCCATCCTATATTCCTTTCCCCCTCCAAAGTACTGACCAAGGCAGGGACACAGCAGCGTAATGACTCCTGAAGTCATCTGAAAAGCAGTGACCCGGCCGCAGCCTGGCTTGGGACTGCAGATCACCAACAGCCACAGCAAAAGGGCCCTCAGTTTTCCATTTCAGAGGATGCGTTCCTCCATTAAAAAACAAAACAACCAAAATCCCCAACGTGGAATCGTTCCCTTTGTTTTCATCCTGCCTGGCAACGCCATGAAAGCAACCAGCTCCTGTTAGAATCCAGGTGAGGGATGCAGTGCTCACAGAACTGTTGCTCTCAGCCTGCTGGGGCTCTGCCTCACCCTGCACAGAAGGAGCAGTGAGTGGGGGCGCAGGGTGGTAAATACTGAGAGCATCTGAGGGAACAGAGCAGGGAGCTACGAGGCAGGCAATGGATGAAAGCCCTTTGTTATGCTGCCAGGGAAGGATTATTGTCACAGTTCTATTTAAGCTGCTCAGTAAAGCAAGGTAGAGGGGCTAGTGAAAAAGAAAAAAGAAAAAGCAAAGCCACCTCCGTGTGCCTGGAGCCCTGCGCTGCCCAGGGTGCAGCACAGCTCGGAACAATGCTTTCCTCACCTCATAAAACTCCAAGTGAGATGAGTTCCTGCTGCCGTGGTTGTTGAAGGCTTTTGGCTGCTCCTCATGCAGGCGCTGCTTGGCACAGGCTGGGCTCTCACGCATAGCAGTTTTTAAGCTCTTTTGCTGGGCTGCCAACACGATGACAATGACAAAAATCAGTCACAGTGGCAGCATCGTTCAGTAGGGTTGGGCTCAGGGTGGAGGCATCAGCCCAATGGGCTCTGGGCAAGGTGAGGAATGAGTGCTGGGTGCAGTAAAGGAGAAAAACTGGGGGAATAATTTCTTGTGTTAAGGCAAAGAGCTTCCAGCTGCAGCCTTAGCCCTGCTAGTAAAAGCACGCGAGGCTCAAGGAACGGGCTCACAGATGGACTCAGATGCTGGGCTGCGTGTGACAGGTAAATAGGGACCATTCCACATGGCTGAGCTCCCCAGGGTGAACCCACCCAGACCAACACAAAGGCATGAAACCACAGCCCCATTCCTCCCAAAGATGTGAGCTGCCCACAGGGCACAGATGCAGGCTGCCCTTGGTTCATCGTGCTCATGTCCCCTAGGAAGGGACACTGATGTGGCCTCGGGGCTGGCCCGTGCACCTGGGCACGGTGTGGGAGACAGCAAGCCTGGAATGTAATGACTTGCTCCAGTTGTTTTTATTAAGGCTCTCATTAACAGCATAAAAACATAAGATACTTCTTTCCACCTAGGAGTATCTGCTACCAGCTGCAACTGCTGTCTGCATTAAAGTCACATGTGCACAGGCCGTGGCAGCACAAACATCACACCGTGGCCAGGACGTTTTCCTACTGGAAGGAAGATGATGCCAAACCCAAGTGCCTTTGCTGCTGTCTGTCCACTAAACACGTCTGGTTAAAATGTATTTGGCATCCATCTAATTCCACCCCCTCCACTCGCATCCCTCCCAGGCTGCCATGGTTACCTCTGCAGCACTGACCCAGCCAGAAGAATTGCCATTTATTTTTCTTCCTCTGTGCAGATGGAACAAGAGCTTATTTTGTGAGATTAATTAACATTTTTCACTACAGGATCCCCCCAGTATGTTTATTTTTCCAGCAGGCACAAGCTGTCTGTTTCTAAGAAAGAAACAAACTGGTTTTCAGCTGCTGGACTGGAGCAGTGAGACGTTCTGCCCAAAACAAGGGGAAAAACGTGAACGCTTTCCCATTGATTGCTTTCCCCAGGAGGGGTGGCGAGGCCTTTGGAAATCCACCAGCTGCCAGTGATGTGATCAAGTATCAGCATGGCTGATAGGAGTCATGGCTTTGTGCCCCAACTTACAGCATTTGGTGTGACAGCCCCAGTCACAGAAGTGGAGAACCAAGCAAAATGTTTTCGGACCAGTGTGTAGCGAGCCAGAAACACATCCAGAATCATCCATTGGGGCAGGAGCAGGCTGGAGCTCTCTGGTTCTGTCAATTTAGGCAGCACTGAGAGACTTCCATGGGGCTCAGAGCAGCAGGGTTGGTTTGGCCCAATTATACACCAGTGGAGTAGCCACTGCAGCTGACACAAGCTGTCTCGTGGTGCCTATTTAAAGATTTCTTGAGTATCTTGAGAGCTAGAATGCCTCTTTGTCTAACCTGACCTGCTGTGCAGCGGGGTTCTGCTGCATGGGACATGAGGAAGCTTTTCTCCCCTCACATGCACAGCTGATCAGACTGCATCGCTGCAGCAAAGACAGCAAAGCTTCACCTTCCTGCCCTCACGCACCTGCAGTCAGAGAAACAGTGTGGTTACAGCTCACGTTGGTGAACACACAGCCCTGCGCCGTCTGCTGAGCTGTCACACCATCTGATGGTGGCACTGGGACCTTCAGGTGGATTTAAATCCTCTGTAATTATAAATGCAAATTAGCACAGCCACAAAATGAAGTCTCTGGAGCATTGGGGCCAGTGGGTAACAAGGAGAGGCACTTCAAGGACTCACATGTTACAAGGCGTGTGCGTCCCTCTCCTTCCCACCCTGCCTGCATGCAGTGGCCTTCATGCATTCAGAACAATCCTTATACAGATTTCATCGTGAGATGTGCCCAGTTCTTTTATTCTATTTCCTACTGATGATAAAGGAGCTGAACCACCACAGATGTTGTAAACTCTCACTGGGATTCATGCTTCTGCAACCAGGTTTTTATCGCCCTAATGAGACCATTGCTCTCGTGCCCCGACACACACAGAAAGCCAAGGCACAGATGCCAGAGCCTGGACGACCAATCAAGCAGGAACCCTTAATGTGTAGGAAATATGACGTGCAAACTGCAACAGCAAACAGTTTTTATTACAGAGCTGTTCTCCCACCGCCTTAATCTCCCCAAGGCTGTAAACTGGAGATGTTTTATTTTATAAATATGTACATTTACACACCTGTGGATGTGGACCAGGCAAGCAGATGCTTCTATCAACCACTGGATGTGGTTTCTCCTCAGCATTCTTACTATGCTTTTTATTTTTAACACCAAATAAATACAAAACAACCCCATTAAAAAAAAGAGAAAAAGAAAACAGCTGTAAATCCAAGACACCAATCAGCTACTTAGCTACTTTTAAAAGCAATACTATTAACTAAGTTTAGGCTCCAAACACACAACTTTGAAAGGGAAAAGCCCCCCCAGCCTGCAGTACAGATGGCTTTGTATAAAGGGCTATCAGAATTTCAACCAGGATTTTGGAATGTGGGGGCTGAAAGATTTTGGGAAGGTAGAAATGAGAGGCACTTAAATCTCACAGGTTTTTGGAGAGCAGGGGGAGTTTAACTGCTTTAACATACATGAGAATGCCTCCCTTCCCAGCTGGGTTGCTGGGTCCCAGATTGATGTTGCTTAGCCTCATGCACCCCGTGGAAGCAGTGAGATGGGAATGGAGCTATCATCTCAGCCCCAACAGCCAACAGATGAATAGGGCACAGAAGGGCAACCAACCATCCTGCCTGCAACTGCAATCCCTCCTGCTGGCACCTCTGCCACTGGTGAGGGAGGGACCCAACATCTCAGGGACAGATTTGGTCCTAGGAGGTGAGGTGAACATCAGTGAAGGCTTTGAAGTGCTAAAGCTTTACCCAAACCCCCCTGCTCTAGGAGAATGAAGGTGCTCTGGGCACTCTGAAGCTATTGGCCATGCCCAGCATAGTCCCCATTTTCTGTTTGTGCTTCTATGATCTCTGCCACGCTCCTCTTCGCACCGTATCCAGGGAAACATGAACACAGACAGGAAACTGGATGCAGTGAAGACACAGTGGGTAGAAAAAAAACCAATCATCTCCTAATATCTGAGGCCAATGTTCGAATATTCTTGCAGAGTTTTGTTGGATGAAGGGCTGGGGCACACACTGCTGATGGACTGCATCACACAAATATCTGCACCTGCATATATGGTTTCACCCTGACTTTCTAAATGTACACTCTATTTATTTACTCTGCAATCTGTATCTCCTTTAAGATTCCAGAAAGGAATTTTACAGCACAGGAATCCCCTCTGAAGTATTCCAAAACTGGCTAAAAATTAAATAAAAAATATATAGAGATATTAAAAAATACTTAGTTGCCTCTGCATGAACAAGAGGTGGTTTCTGGTCTCTGAATGCAGATATTCTCTCTTTGGGATCACCCTCTAAAAGCTCTTTGCTCTGGTGCTCTGAGGGCTCTCCCTGCACAGCAGTGTGGTGTCCATGGGCTAAAATTTCTGCAGGAATTTGAGAACCAAGTCACGCAGCTTCACCCTAAGAGGTTCATCGTTGTCACAGATGATGTGTGTGGAGTCCTCCTCAATCTGAATGAGGGTTTCTGCCTCCTGGAGGAGCACGATGTGGCCCTTGGCTGTGTCTTCCACCTTCACGTCACTGAAGCCATGCTGGATACAGCAATGGGGAGGAAGGAAAAGAGAGAGATGTTACAGCAACATAAGTAACAGGGAGAGATGTAAGTTCAGGGAGGAGGAGAGGGAAAGAACAGC